GCCCACCACAACGCCAGGCTAGTTTTTGTTGTTTAGCTGTTCGGGCCATATTTGAATCCTCTAGCCTTGGTGTATGTGGCCAGCACTGTAACCACTGTGCTATGGGCACCAAGCCAAATTAAAAACACTGATTTGAGTTCTACCCGTAATCATTGCTTACGGCCCCGGGGCATGTAGTCCCCATCAGCATAATGCAACCTCACACCTAGGGTGGGCAAACTTTTCCTATGTCAGGCCAGACAGCAAAGATGGCCATGTGGCTCAGAACAATGTTTGTGTTCAAACGTGGTCCCATTAAGATTATGATGGAGGCTTGGCACCTGTAGCTCACGGCCAGAGCGCCAGCCACATACACCGGAGCTAGTGGGTTCACATCCGGCCCCAGCCTGCCAAACAACAATGATGGCTGCAACCAAAAAATAGCCAGGCTTTGTGGCAGGCTCCTGTAGTCCCAGTTACTTGGGAGGCTGAGGCAATAGAATCGCTTAAGCCCAAGAGCTTGAGGTTGCTGTGAGCTGTGACGCCATGGCACTCTACCAAGGACGACATAGTAAGACTCTATTCCACCCCTCCCAAAAAAGATTATGATGGAATTGAAGAATTCCTGTTACCTGGTGACTTAGCCACCCTAACATCTCAGTACAACTCATTACTCAAGTGTTTATGGGATGCTGGTGAAACAATGCCAGTCATACGAAGCATAACATCCCATTTTGTGCAATACACAATACTTGGTAATGACAATAAGCAACTGTTACAGGTTTACAAATTTACTATAATTTTTATCATTACAGTGTACTTCTACTTGTAAAAAGACAGTTAACAGTAAAGTATCCCCAGGAGGTCCTTTGAGAGGTCTTCTGGTAGAAGTCATTATTATCATAGGAGATGATGGCCCCATGGGTGTTATTGCCCCCGAAGACCTTCCAGTGGGACAAGATGTGGAGGTAGATGACCCTGACCCTATGTAGTAGGCCTAGACTAAAGTATGTGTTTGTGTCTTAGTTTTAAACTAAAGATTTAAAAACGTGAACTATAAAAAACAAGATAATTTTTATTCTTTTTACCTGGGTGCCTATAATAGCAGAAAACAATATAATTTAAAAATAGGAAAAAAGGGCTGGGTGCGGTGACTCACACCTGTAATCCTAGCATTCTGGGAGGTCGAGGTGGGTGGGTTAATGGAGCTCAGGAGTTCGAGACCAGAGCAAGACCCCATCTCTACCAAAAACAGAAAAACTAGCTGGGAGTTGTGGCAGGTGCTTGTAGTCCCAGCTATTCAGGATGCTAAGGTAAGAGGATTGCCTGAGCCCAAGAATTTGAGGTTGCTGTGAGCTATGAGACCACAGCACTCTACTGAAGGTGACCAAGACTCTGTCTCCAAAAAAAAAAAAAAAAGGAAAAGCTTAATGAATAAACAAAATTTTTATGAAGCTGTACATTATACAATGGGTTTGTGTTTTAAGCTAAGTGTTATTACAAAAGAGTAAAAAATATATAAAAAATTAAAAAGTTTATAAAGTAAAACA